GATTGGTCCGATCTTGCAAATGCCTCGCTTACCTTTATAAAATACGCTGTTAGCATAGGGCGATACACTCTTATTCCTCCGCTCTTGCTGCTAAGGACTTCTTTGTGGATTCGATCGAGGCGTTGTTGGAGGCACGAAAAAAGAGACTTCTGGCAATTTTCTAACGGACGTGACGTACCGAGACCACAAATGCCACAACGTGGTAGAGGATCTCGTAGAACACAGGCGAGGCGCACGGCTACAACGTACCTCAGCGTTGGTCTCGGCGTCTCCCTCCTCCTTCTCATTCTTAGCCTAGCGCTCTCAAAGTGGAGTTGTGGCACTATTTTGCACTCCTGCCTCAACGGGACATTTACGGAGCCCTATCAGGATATAGGCAGCCTCCTCGTTGGTGCCATCGTGGTAAACTTCATCGCCCTATCAGTTGCCTTTATCGGATGCGCAAAGTGGTGGGCCATGCCGCTTGCCCTAATACTGACTTGGATTGATGGCACCCTAGCTGTCGTGGCAATCGCCTTTTACTTCACCAAGTTGGATACAGCCTATTGTCCCCTGTTGGCTATCAGTGGAAGTATCTTCGCCGTGACCATGTCAATCAAAGGCACACTTGGCCTTGTGTTTGGTCTCTGCCTCTCCTTCCTCGGCCTCATCCCAAGCGTAGTGCTCTCAAATTGGAGCTGTGGCACTCTCCTAAACTGCTGTGTGAATGGAACGCTTACGGAGTCCTATAAGCCTGTGGGAGGCCTCCTTTTTGGTGCCATCTTGGTAAACTGCGTCGCTCTGCCAGTTGCCATTGCCGGATGCGTAAGGCCGGGGGCCAAGGCAGTCGCCCTGGTGTTGACCTGGCTTGGTGGCATCCTCGGTTTAGCTGCAATTGCCTATTACTTCGCCATATTGGATTCAAACTACTCACCACTCCTGGCTGTCATTGGAATGACAGTGACGTTGGCCATGGCATTCGTTACAACTATTACAATAATACAGGAAAGAATAGCTTAAAATACTTGCTTATCGTGAATGTCTGATTGGGATGGTGAAATTCGGATAAGTACACCTAACTGTTAAACTATCGGCAATATTTTGGTGTTTTAATTTCCGCTTGCGAATGTATGGCGGCTTTTTGTGTCCTTAAAGGAACCACATGCATTCAGGCATTGTATCTTATTTTGTTTCATTCGAATGATGAACAATGTCTGTATTAAATATTTTATATCAAAAAACGGAAATCAATCTTCAGAATGTTTTCTTTCTTAGATGTTCGATATAGGTTGGCGGTCGGAATGTACTGAGCATGCGGTATATCTGACGGTATAGAACCTATACTAGGCGATCTAAAGTACAGTAGCCCGGCTGGACTACGCAAAAACAGCGCATGTTGCGTCCCTCTAACGTATTACAACAGTAAAGAAACGGTTCTTCTTAAAAATAAGGCCTATTGCTGTTTATCAAGTAATATTCTTTTG